AAACCTCACAGTCAGAGGCAGTGGGGGTGGACAGGGACCCCAGCCAGCCAAGGCCCGGGAACTGCTTTCTGAGCAGACCACCCACAGGCTCCAGCTCAGCCCTGCCTCCAAACCCTGAATTCCCAGCTTCCTGGAAGTCCTGCTTGTTAGCTGCCTTCAAGTGTCTCTAGGTCCTAGGGGAGGGGTTCTGGCTGGGCGACCCGTGAGGACAGTTTCAGCTATGGAATGAGGACCGGTCTGGAAGGGTGGACCTGAGCTCAGACGTGTGGGAAGATGTGGGGGCCTGGTCAGTGGAGGGGACCGAGCCAGGGAGGAGGGGTGAGGCCCGGCCTTAGAGGGGCGCCCCACAGAGCCTCTAGTCTGAGGCATGAATCAGGATGAGACTTCCTCTTGGTGGCCCTCTTCTATCACACACACACACACACACACACACACACACACTTGGACTCTTCCCAGACTGTGAGACCCACCAGAGCCCAGTCCTTCAGCCGGCCTGTCAAGCATCAAGGTGACACCGCGGGCGAATATAAACACAGCTCAGTGTACTTTCAGTTTTCCTGGGGGCGCGTCGTCGTAAATCCCCCCTCCGGCCCAGCCAAGGCTTTTATGGGTCCAGGACTCAGGTCCCTGGGGATTCAGCTCTGCTCCAACAGGCGCTGGTCCAGCCTCCCCACCCCACCCAACCCTCCCAGGAGGTAGGCTGCACGGGTATTTTTAGCTGTGGAAGAAGACAGCAGCATGGAGTTCACCCTGATGAGACCGGGCCATCAGGCAAAGCAGCTTGGGTCCACTCAGACCACAGTCTCATCTCCCTCTGCCCCGGCAACCCTCCCGCTTCCTCCCCACAAGCCCGCATTGTGGGGAGGGGCAGGTGGGAAGAACTCTTCCCCCCACTTTTCCATGATCCCGCCCTCTGCATGTTTTCCTCCCCCCTCCCCAAAGCATCACCCCCTGCAGAAGACACCCTATCACCCGCTTTCCCCCACCGCCCTTTTGGCGCTGGGTAGCCCCGGGGAGCGCGGAAGCACGAGCCTGGCTTCATTTTCCCACACTTTATCTCGGTACAGCTCTCGGGAGAGTCCGTCTCCGCGGCCTCGACGGCATCGTTGGCGCACGGTCAGTCTGCCGCGGGCCGTCTGGCCCGGCCGGGTGAGGTAGGGTCACACGCAGGCGCACTCGCGCGCCGACAGCTCGTGCACGGTGTGGTAGCGGCTGTGCGTGTCCAGGAAGGACACCTCGTCCTCGTAGGCCGTCGGGCGGCAGCAGGGCTGCGCGCGCACCCGCTCCCGCCGCACGCGCCGCTGTTGGCGCAGGCGCCGCAACCCCAGGTCATAGAAGCGCGCGGCCGCCTCGCACGCGCCTGCGCAGTAGCGGAACAGCACCGTCTCGTCCGACGTGTAGCCCAGGCCCAAGTCGCTCACGCGCACTTCGAGCTCGCGTAGCCCGCACGGCCGCGTGTTGGAGCGCGCGCGCGCGCGCCGCCGCCGAGGCCCCGCCCGACGGCGTGCACCTGGGGGCCTCCCAGCCCAGGGCGCCAGGTCACGCAGTTCCACCGCATCTGGGGCGCCCTGCAGCAGTGCTCGGTCTGCGGGGGTGGAGAGAGAGAAAAGGGGGACAGGGTAAGCTGGGGGTTCCACCCACCCTCCCAGGCTCATCTGCAAAACCAGAGCCTTTCTGGGGCGCCCTGGACGCTGCGGCACCATCTTTAAACCTTGCGGCACCGTCTTTGATCCCTGCTTCTCCCTCTCCCAAGGCTTTATACAGGGACTTGGGGCAGGAGCGAATGCTAGGGGATCGGATCTAGCCCCCACGCTGGACCCTCATGGCTGTTCACACCCTAGCTAGCCCTTTCTCAGCGCCGGGGGTGCGGGGCGGCGGGGGCTACTTTCCCTTATGCTCTCCTTTGAGCTGGGACCCGCTATCCCCTCCCCATTGACCCCCACTACTCGCCCTGAACCCCACCCCTGTGCTGCCCTGACCGGGGCCCCTTCCGCCTTTAACCAAGTCAGTCCTTAACTTACTTTCTCTGTAGTCCCCACCCCCTCACCTGGGTTGTTCACCCTTAGCAGTTTCCCCATCCAACCAAATCAGTGTTGGGCCTCTGAGGATACAGAGTGGCGATGGGACAGGCAAGGGCCCCTCCACGGGTGGCGGGGGCAGCAGTTAATCTCAGAGCATCCCATGCTGCTGCAAACCCTATGTGACAGACTGGAACTGCTCCGTAGGGCTTCCTACATTGATCGCCAGGTCTTTCTCCCTCTGAGCTGCTGGGTGGGGTCGAACGGACAACCTTTGGGTTTGAAGTTGAGCGCTTAACCATTGTGCCACTAGGGTCCTGTGTGACAGGTGAGGAAAGAAGAGTCCAAGGCCATGCCACCAGCAGGCAGCCTCACAAGGCTCCAGCCTGAGCCCATGTTGAGCCTAAGCCTGGCTCCCCTCTGGTTCCCAGAGCCTCAGAAGTCCCAGTCTACTCTCCAGCAGCCCCTGACTGGAGCAACACAGACCCGGGAGAAAAAGAGGGGAGAGAGCGAGCAAGGGAGGGAGTGAGCAAGAGAAACAGCGGTAAATGGAATGGTGACAACGCTGAAGGTAGACCGCCAGGCAGACAGGGCTTCCAAGCCACCAGGCAGGTGGCAGTCATGCTTGTGGTCTGGAGAGCAAATCCTCAGTGAGGTCCCCACCTGCCCCAGGGGTACTGCACCTGGATGTCACAAGAGGGAGCTTCCTGGGGGGCACTAAGGGAAGGGGCTCTATGCTATGCAGGAGTGGGATGAATCGTTTCTAAGGCGGGACTCAGAAGCCAGACAGATGCAGGCTCTGAGGCTGGCTGCAGCAGCAGACAGGGGCTGGCCCTGCTCAGTGCCTCAGTTTCCCTGACGGTGCGTGCAGTTTGCATTGACCAGGAGTGCCCTCCGGCGGGTAGGTGCCAACCTAGATCCTTCCCGGAGCTCCCACCCCAGAGGTGTGTCTGGGAGTCACTGGTGGGTTGGTACAGACAACAGAGCCCCAGTTCCAGCTGGATTTCAGATATACAACAAAAAACTTTTAAGGTGGTCTCTCTATCCTTCCTCTGCCCCTTTCAAAGGTGGGCTGGCTGCATGCACGGGGTCTGGGGTACAAAGGGACAGGATGCAATGCCA